TCTACTTTTATATTATACTTATAGTTCAAACAACAAATTTCAGAGCCACACAATGGCGTACCTACCCTCAATTTAATACATTTAGAAGTCATTACTAATAGTTTTCTTGCTTGTTTTGAAAATGTTGCAGTAACCCAAAAGCTACAGGGTTAGAAAGATCACTTCCTTTTCTATGTCTCCATTTATGTGATTAGAAGGTGAGAACAATGTGTCCTCTCTACTTTGGTCTTTGGGATTTTCAGACTTAATGAGTGCAAAAAGTTTCTAAGGACTTTGCAAGAAAGTAGGTTTATAAATAGTATTAATGACATGTCTGCTAGATAGCAATGGGAAATGTGTGAAACATTATTTCCAAATATCAAAAAAAGTCAAAATGGACCCTTTCATCAGCTCTTAACACTAACCTCTCAGAAGATCAAAGGCCCTTCTCCTTTCTGTATATTCTCTGGTGCTGTTTAGTTCAAATTTTTGAAACAGAACATGCTAAAATGATGGGAGAAGGTAGGTAACATTAAGAAAATATATAAAGGTCCACTAGAGAGCTAGAGAAATAGCGTCTCAGATAACATGCTAAATATTGCTTTAATAAAAACACCGACGGAGCCCTGTTCAGAACAAGATGAAAATGGCCTCGTTGACCACAGCCAGCTTACAGCCAGTGTTACTTCAGAAGTGGGGAAAACTACCCGGGTGCTCTTTGGATTCATCTTCTGTAGAGTGTGATCTTGGAACTGGACAAGGAGAGAAAAAGAGCGCAAGAGAGCCCAGCGCAAGCCACGGGACGGGCGCCCCGAGGGAGTAAGGATTTGGGCTGAGGGCCCTGAGGGAGAGACAGCCTGGGTCACCTGAAGGGCTGCCAGAAAGCAGTGGGGGGCAAACCCCCCTTTTCATCTAGATCTGATGCCAAGGGGTGATTTTTAATGCACTGAAAGAAAAATAAACCCTTTGGATTAACTGTTGGACTTGGGGCGTTCTCAGCCCACCTACCTCAACCTGGCTCTTCTACAGGCCATAAAACTGACACGCAACTCTTCAGGGACTTTTCCTCAGCCTTTGCGCAATGCAGTATCTCATTGCATCAGTAGTTGAAAACTGAGCAAATGGTGGACGCTTCTGGTGCCTCAGTCTCCCCCTCCACGGCCCCTAGAACGTCCCACCGCAAGGCCAGCGTGTAACCATTTCAGCCCAGAATTCTGGCTTCTCTTGACACCTGGAAAAACTAAGGTTGTGCGTGATTCAAACAGCTCCCGCCTGGCCACTGCGCGGCCCTCCGCGGCTGTGTGGAGATAGTGGCTGCGGGCTGGGTTCGCGGGCTCCCGGGCTTCGTGGTACTGACCCACCCAAGCACAAGCCCTTCCCCGAGCTGCCACAGAGCGCCCTCTGCACCCCGCGACGCTTGCTTTGCCCTTGCGCTCCCTCGGGGACTGGATTCCTAAACCATTTGCTCGACTCTTGTAAACCGTGATGGCGATCCCGCGGGCTCACGTCGAGTCCTGCGGGGGTCGCTGCCGGCGCCCCAGCCCCACACCCTCCACCTGCTCACAGCTTCCCTTCCGCGGTCTGTCAGTGTCATTCATTCACACCCACCCTGCACACACACCTCTGAAGGGCAGGAAACAAGACGAGGTTGTTACCCGGATGCCACACGAACTCTGCCCAGCCCCACTGCGTACCGGGCTCTTGCCAGAGCCAGGACCACCGGGCAAGCTCAAAATATTAATTGCTGAGTTCCTTAAATGCCCCATCTGTTGTTATCTTAGCTGTTACAATCAGCATCGATGCACATCCGATTGGTGGAAACAAATCTGTCGCTTCTAGCTGAGCAAACAGTCACTCAGCCTTAAATTCGCCCTCTGGGCTAGTCTTGTCAAAAATGCTTCTGGAGGGTAGAAATCTGCCCTCTGTTCAAGTGCTCCAGACTTGTGCTAGCTAAAAGCATAGTTACCAAGAGGGGTAGCTATCGCGATTTAAATCAGTTAACATGAAATAATATAAAAAATAATTCAGTTCTGTAGCCACAGAAGATAAATTAAAATCCAAGTTTTCATGACTAATGCACAAGCTGGGGCTGACTAGACAAAGCATTTCCATTATTCCAGAGAGTGATAATGCACACACCTGTGTCAGACTGTCACACTTTACTTTTGAGATTTGGGAATTTTTTTTTTTTTATCTTTCCACCTTTCGATGATTGAGGTCAGGCGGGCTAACACAGGTGTCTCTGTTTTGCGGTTATAGGTTAAACATCTACAAATGTGTACTTTCACATCTTGCCAGCACGGGGCCCCCCAAGCCCTCCACCGTGTTCTGTCCGGCCCCTTTCCTTCTCCCCTCCTTTCTACTACCGTCCCCTTCTTCTTGATTCGGTTTTGTAGTCAGAGGTTAAGAGTTTATGGCTTTTTATTTTGACCCTTTGTTGTGCTTTTCTATAGTCACATGTAAATCAGCAGCTGGAGTTTGTGTCTCCCCAGCTGACTTACTCGGCATCATCCTCTCCAGTTCCATCTGCATCGTCAATGGCTCGCCCTCTTCATGACTGAGTAGTATTCCACTGCACCTGCCCACCGATTGCTCTGAGTCACACTCCCTTGTAAGTTTCCTTCGAGGACATTTCTTTTTTTTTTTTTTTTTAAGATTTTATTTTATTTGTGCATACAGAGCTGGGGTACAGGCCAGAGGCTCAAGGGCAGTGAGAGGCTTCACCAGAGACAGAGCGGGGAACAGAACAGGCAGATCGACGAAGTACACTGCTGAGGGGAGCAGCGGGCGGGTCAGGAGAGGTCTGCCACGCCATGTGGTCACCTCCGGGGCAGGCGGGAATCGAACTCATGAGGAAGCGGCTTTAGATTCTCAGTGCTGTGCTTTACCCCGCTGCGCCACCAGGGAGGGCCCCGAGGACATTTCTTTTTAAAGGTAATATAACAATTAATTACTCATTGGTTGGTCAGTCCTTATGAAAACCCACCCAATAAATAGAATTTACTTGTTTAAAGACAGCCAAAGACTTGCATTATTTTCACTGAAAACATTGCCTGCTGCACTGATATGCACACACACATGAATTCCATTTGATGGGTTTTTCATTTAATAAAATGCATAACCTCTGTTTCCACAAAGGTCTTTAATATGGGTTGCTGGCAAGGATAGGTAAAAGGTTTTACTTAGCAGAAACATATATTATGAGATACGTGTTAGAATATTTATCTGTGCATAGAAACTTCTCTAGTAAAACTTGTCTGTGCCGAACTGCAAACCTTTATCACTTCCTACCAGGCCCCTTAATTCCATCATAATTTTTTCCTAGGCTTGTAGAACTGCAAGAAATTATAAATCCTATGCATCTTCAAACAGATTGTTTGATGCTGCTCAGTGGCCTCGTTTTTATTGAGTTCCGTGGTCACCTATTTCCATCTTCACTTAAAGCAACTGGTGCTCACTAAGTGATCTCTTTTGCTATATGTTTTGAAACATATAAAGCATTAGATAGAGCTCCGTATAAAATAGTGCTGTCTAGAAACAAGAGGGCAAGATTTGTGAGAAAAATAAGCTTTTAAACCACTTCATTTTTAGTTATACAATGTGGGACATGGGGGCAAATGAGTCATAAAAGGCAAAACAATTGAGTTCCCACAGTGCTAAATTAAGAATTTATAGTCTGAGTGATATCTCTGTAACCTCATTCAATTTTCTATTATTGCAGATCTTAAACAATTATGAGCACAGATGACATAGCAACTTTCACTTATAAATCTGCAAGGGTAATGCATGTAACATGCAAAAGTCATTTTGATAATAATGTTAATTGGCCTAATGTTCTCAAAACAAAGAAAAATTGTGATGTTCAAAGAAAGCGATGTTTTGAGCAAATGGGTCAGGCTACCATATTTTTAATTTAAAGCCAATGGATCATTTACTATACGCATCCATTGAGAAATAGGTCCCGCTTCTAGAGGAAAAATAAGTATAACCTAAAGTAAAATAGAATTTAATACTTTCGCAACGACAAATAAGTACAATGATTCTGTTAAATAAATAGTAAACATGGGCCTGTGGTGATTCAATGCTTTCACACACAAAGGGATTTTGGTGTCATGCTCTTTTTCAAGAACTTGGTCATAAAAATCGATCTGAAATTATATCAGACTAATGGACCAGAACGGAAGATGTAGATCACACATGACAGTGATCACAGAGGCAGATTTTTCTGGCCTATACGTGTGTACTTTTTCGTCTTCCCAGTGAATAAAATCATCTTCAGCAACAACACAACAGCTTATTGGTATAAGGGGTTGAGGGATTTTGGAGAAATAACTACTTGTAGGAGAGGTTAATTCATAGTCTTTCCCTGCTTTTTCCCATCTTACTATATCGACACGTTAGGTGGTTTTGCTGTTGACCAAAATGTTATTTGGGAAAAAGAAGCATCATTCATGTTAAAATGTGCACTGCTGGCTAGTCTGCTCATTGGGCCTCCTTGCCTAATAAACACATTAAAAGGAGTATGACTGTTTTGACAGTAAATTCAACTAGGAAAGAGGAAAAGTTAAAGAGGTAATAGAGCCATAGATTTTCTGGGGGCATGTTTGTGATGCTCCTTTGGTGAATAATCATGGCAGTTTCTTCCTTAATGTTCAATGTATTGTACCACTATTACTTTTTGAGAAAACCAATGGAATATAAAGCCAAATCTTGGATATAAGAATTGAAAATGCCGGGCTCTCCCTGGTGGCGCAGCGGGTTAAAGCACAGCACTGAGAAGCTAAAGCTACTTCAGCATGAGTTCGATCCCCGCCTGCCCCGGAGGTGACCACATGGCGAGGCAGACCTCCCCTGACCCGCCCGCTGCTCCCCTCAGCAGTGGACTTCCTCGATCTGCCTGTTCTACTCCCCACTCTGTCCCCGGTGAATCCTTTCACCCTCCACATCTCTGGCCTGTACCCCAGTTCTGTATGAATAAATAAATTAATTAATTAAAAAAAAAAGAATTGAAAATGCCTAACTGAAAAAGAAGGTACATTTTAATGATTAAATTGGAATTGAATTGGAATAATTAGAGTGCTTTTGCATAAATTTGCATTATCTTAAAGCTGAAATTCAGCTCCTTTTCCAACGTCAAGCATGGAGACTAAACTAGATTAAAGCTCAGAAGTCAGCTGTCAAACACATCTCTCTGCAGCTGTAATATAGTAGATAGATCTTTACCTTAATAGTAATAATTTAAGAACACGGATATTTTCTTGCAGTGACATGAGTTTACAACATTATGCGATTTAAGGCATTTTTTAAAAATACAGAATAACAGCATATAAAAGAGTTATGTTAAACGCACCACTTATATCAAACAATCACTTTCTTTGTTAAATAAATTTTAAAAATGTATGAAGATATTGATAAATTGAATAGTAATTCTATATAAAGAATGCCTTGTCTTCTTTTATATGTAATCCAATCCACTCATAAGCCATTATCTATCTAAAGACATAAAAGATACAAACTCTACAAATTAGCCTGGAATCTGCTACTGTGAATTATAGACTCTGAACTTTGTCAAGGAGAAATATTCTTAGTCTGGGACCTTCGCCTTTTACAGACACGTCATTAAATGTTGGTCACAGAACAGAAACCTCCAGAACTGGTTCACAAGTCTGCAAAGAAAGATGAGACGTGGTCAGCGCTGCAACTCCTTTGTCCAGAGGTTCTTAAACATCCGCTACAATATCTTCATTTTCACTGGATATTTCACGTTTCGCTACGTGAAGATGGAATCCCGGGTCACCTGTGTGGGGGAAGCAGCGTCACGCTTTCTCTGTCCCATGGAACCGCTCTCGTTCCTCTGCCATCAGTATGAAAGTGACCTGTCTGTGTTTTCTTCTCCTCAGAGGACAGTTCAGAAGCGCGACGACAGAGCGAGCGGTGGCGCCGGGGCAGAGGCCTGAGGGCCGGCTGCGCCCGTCTGTGCCGGGAGCCGCACGGCCAGTTTTCGCTGCAGTGACCGCTCCTCGTGGCCATGGCCTTCCGCCTGTTCGGCGGCGCGTATCTGGGCACAGAGCGCAAGCCAGCTGCACTTGCTCTCGGCGTTTCGGCTGCAGTCACAGACGCCTTTTTAGGGCATCGGTGCATCGCCACCCACGCGCTCCAAGCCTCTGGAATCTGGACCCGTCCATGGCCCGGGCTAGAAGTCTGAGCGTGCCCGACGGGCAGAGGGCGCATTTACCCCAGCAGGGCCAGAGAAAGCCGGCGAGGGAGGGCAGCGCCTTCCCGTGCCGCCCGCGCGGCTCCTCGCTGGCCAGGGCCCATCGCACCGCTGACCCCCGTGGACTCCTGGGACCGCGGAGCTGAGAGGGTTTGGTGCACCACGACGGCGCTCGGAGAGGACCGAGCCCAGAGGCGGGCGCGGGCCCCGCAGGCGGGAGGCGCTGCCGGGGGAGCAGAGGCTGCAGGCGGGGGCTGAAGCAAGGTGGGTAGGAGCTCGCCCAGGCCATGTGTTTGCTTGTGACTTGGGGGCTCCCGAGAGAGGGCGGGTGACACCGCGCACCGTGCAGGTGCAAACGAGGTGCTTGCCACGGTGAGGTCACCTGTAGACAACAGAGACGGGGCGGCAGCATCTCCTCTCTGCCGTGGAATGGCGTCGCTCTCACCCAGGGAATCTTAGGTCTTTCCTAAGGTCAGCCATTCCGTTAGTCAATGGCCTAGAAAGAGTAACAGTCGCTACTTTATAAATATTCCCCTTTTGGAAAACTTTTTAATCATCAGACAACTAGCCTGGCCGGGCTTTGCGCGTGTTGAGACATTGAATCCCCTTGAGAGCTTGAGCCAAAGTACAGGCATTGTACACCGTGAGCAACTTTCTGGGCAGACCAAAATGTGCAGCGTGAGAGGATTTGTGCTCGCATGCCCTCAAAGGCTAGAGCTGGAGATCCAAGTGGACATGGGGGAATAGGGTCAGCGTCCTTCATACATCCCCACTCTGCTTTCTCCTTAGTTTCTATGACAGACTAAACAAGACATTAATGAGAACAAGCAATGAGTGAATGGTCATTGCTTATCTTATGTTTTGCTTGCAAATCTAACTATCAAGTTCACTTATTAACTTATTAAATTGATTTCACTGGACAAGTCAACCTAGACATGAATAATATGTTTTCAACAGGATCAGTTCATTAGAAAATATATTTGAAGACCCTCCCTGGTGGCGCAGCGGGTTAAAGCACAGCACTAAGAAGCTAAAGCCACTTCAGCACAAGTTTGATCCCCTGGAGGTGACCCACATGGCGTGGCAGACCTCTCCTGACCCGCCCGCTGCTCCCCTCAGCAGTGGACTTCATAGATCTGCCTGTTCTGCTCCCCGCTCTGTCTCTGGAGAATCCTCTCATGGCCCCTGCACCTCTGACCTGTACCCCAGTTCTGTATGCAATAGACAATATGCTCCACTTGGTCTCTACGCTGAAGTGTCTCTAATTTAGCATCTTGTAGAGTTGCTTTTTAATCTGTTGTGGACAAGCTGCAATCAAACCAAGCAAGGTGCAATAGAAGCAGTTACTTTTATTTCATCTGAAAAAAAATAATTGCCTCTGCTAAATTAGTCCATAGATCTTGGAAAGGATATTCAGGATAATAGGAGAAGTCTAACTTTTTAGTGCATGCTGGCAAAATTAATAGATACCAGAATAGAAATTGATTCAACTTAAATGCCAAGAGAACAATAACTCAAGAATTTTCATTGTTCCATCACTTATAATATTGATTTAAGGAAATTTAAGCCCACTGGGCTGGACCTGGTTTCCACCGTTTCCAGAACTCTTTATGACCCCATGAGGGCTCCAGTTTTGTAGTAAAATAGACTAAGTGAAGGCATGTGTTAGAGAAACACTACTTCCTAGTGTGAAAACTATCGCTCTCTGCCAGACGTACTGAGAACACAATGGTAAATAGATATGTTTGCAAACAAATGACTATTTTTTTTTTAAGAATCACACAGTGAAATTATACCTTAAACTAATCAGTGCATGAAATCTGCAAGGGTCATCTGCCTCGGTCAGCTGTCGTGGGTCTGTAAAACAAATAACCAGCATGAATGAACAGAAAGTGTGGGGTTATGGAAACCAGCACTCAACACCCAAACCTGAGGCTGCAATGTTTTCACTGCGCCATTTCCAAGATCTAAGTCATTTCAGAAGCACACCCAAATAGTATTTTTTTAATAAATGCTATTTTTATGAAAGCTTTGTATGAAATTTCAATGCAAACAGACAAACTCTCAAGTGCAGGAAAAAGGAAATCACCAACAGACAGAGCTCAGAGGTTTTCAGGACAGAGTCATTTCTCTGCCTGATTCCACAGAAGTGGTGCATTTGCACAGCTGTGGACCGTGCAGCACGGGGCCAGAACTCCCGTACAAACCTTGGGGGTGACGTAGGCGTAGAGTCACTTATGATCAGAAATGTAGAGGTGGAGCATTGACAGTGGGAGAGGTAGAGGGTCTGGGACAGTCTCCACTTTGCTGTGAACCTGAACTGCTGTATAAATTAAAGTTGACGAATTCAGAAATAAAACGTAGGTCAGCAGACACAAACTGGAGGGCCTTATTAAGAGAAGTCACAGTACTGATCTTGCCTTACAAACAGGTGGTGTCTAATTCGACACTTTACCTTAGACCCAGTGATTGAACAAGATAAATAACACCAGCAAAGACACTAGGGCGTGGATGTAAACAGCACGGCTTGCCATGCAGAGCTGGACACAACGGTCTTCCCGGGAGGGCGCCTGGATAGACACACGGTGAGGGTCAGGGCAGAGAGCGCTAGTCATCACCTAAAGTGGATCTGGGCCCAGTGTGCCTGGTGCGGATCTCAAGAACAGAATGAAAAAAGCCACACACCCCTGGCACGTACAGGATAAATTTATACGCTATTCCAGACCAGTTCAAGCTAATACCTGCAGCTAAAGGTCAGGGTGTCCATTGGGGGGTGAGTGATGAGGACAGTGAGTAGAAGGGAAAGGGTCACAGTTATCGTCTCAGCCCTGGAGGTGAGCGATGGCTACAGGGGCAGGAAGCGGGAAGTTTCATCAAACTATGCACTGAACTGTAATGCATAAAACATACTTAAGAAACATCTCTAGAAAAATCACCTGGCTCCCTCCATTTATTCTCCAGTGAAACCACTAAGTACGACGGCTCATGAGCGCGGCCCCCTCCAGATCCCGGCTCCCAACCCCTTATGTCAACTCCCTCTCCCGGTTCTCAGGGCTCGTCCCAGGCCTTTTTGAGGAAACTTGTCTCCCAGGCTCTGAGTCCTGTTCTTTCCTCTTTTCTGCATTTGTCAATTATTGTTTGCGTTTGTCTCACAGAGTCTTCTGCACCTGAAAATTCAAATACTAGATTAATATAGAGTTAAAGGGAATGTTTTCAGTCTTGGAGTAGAAGTTAAGGGTAGCTCACTACCACTTTTTTCTTGAGAGAAACAGCAGGGTGAGAAGATTGAAAGTCATATAGATTAACAGAGATGGATCAATGATGGGCCCATCGATAGGTGTCCATCCAGACTCCAGGAAAGTCTCCATCACTGTTTCTTAATTCGTTCCTAGAATTCTTTCAGACTTTAGATTTTATGTTACCCTGACAAAGAAAGCTTCCTTGACAATGTTCTTCCCTGCAGTAATTAAGGTAAGGGCTCCCTGTATTTCCTAAAGTTAAATTGCTCCAGTGGAACCTGGCATTTCCTATGCTGCAGGAATTAACTAATCACCACGATTAATCGCTAGTTTATTTGCCTGTTCCCCCAGTAGACAAGAAGTCTTACAAGGGCAAATAAGCCCTGCTTTCAATTTCACTTCCAAAACTAGCTAATCAATCTTTCATATCACTAAATACAGAAAGAGAACTATAGAAGATGTTCAGGCCATAAGAGAGCCAAATTTTAGTTAGATCCATTTAGTGAAAGAAAACTGAAAACAGAATCACACTCAGTCTCACAAACACACACACTCACCCTCATACACACAAACACACAAAACTGCACGGAAGTTATTTTTCTCACTGCTTGTCCTGAAGAACAAAATAAAACAAGAAATTGTTTCCACACCTAAGATACTTCCAACTTTGAGATCCTACTGCCCTCTACAGTGACCCAGCCGAGCAGGAGTAACAGGGCGGGGGGAAGGGACGCACATGATGAGGAGTGGCAGTCACGGGAGGAGTGGCTGTGCTGTAGGGAAAGAAGTGGGATGGGGAATCTGGTGAAGGTTAGAGATGGCGCTTTCTCCACACGCCCGGGCTTCAGAACGGGGAAGGCAGGGGGAGACTCCCCGCGGAGGATCTACAGGAACCTCCGTGATTTGAACTCTCCAACCGATTAAAGCATCTAGATTGCCAGCTGTCTGCTGTTCCCACTTGCCGAGGCCAGGGAGTCTCACAAGGCGTGCTCAGGGCCTTGCTGTGGGCGCCCGCCGCCGATGCGCTTGATCTGGGGAAGATGAGCTGCCTGTTGGATAAAGGGCATTAGCATATTTCCTACAAGACATGATTACAAATTATGGGGATGATATGAACACTACAAATCATTTGTTGAATAAAAGGCAGAAAACAAAGCAAGAGTTGCGATCATGGATCAGAAACCTAACGCTATGATGTAGCTACAAAGATACATGAAAGCGACTGTGTGACACAGAGCAGGATGTCTCCTGTGCGACCCCAGTGCAGTGGACGCTGGTCAGCTTGTTTACACAAAGGCTCCAGCTTGTTCACATAACGTCTCCGAGGTGCACGATCACCGAGGGAAAGTGAACAGACAAAGGCATTTTCGGTGAAGACAGGAAAGTTCAGGGGTTGAGTCATGGGGATGATCCCAAACTCTCAAACCAACTTTACCTTAAGTGGACAAGGCAAGGGGTTTGCTTTGTTTTGCTTTATTCACCTGAGCGGTGAGAGAACATGCAGATTACTGACCAGATGAGGAAAGCAGATGCAGTGACAATTAATTTGAAAGTTTCGGTTTAGAAAACACATTTGAAAAAGTGTTTGGGCATCACAATTCCATTTCTAACAAAGACAGTAATTAATGTTTTTATGGCCCCCTGCATAAAACTCTGATTCGACATCAAGTTTTTAGTAACATGAAATTAATATTTGCCTATTTGAAATAAGATTGTCGACTCTTTTTGGTATTATCTCTTTGTTGTTTATTGTTATTGTTTTTGTAACATAATATGGTCTGGCTCTTCTCCTCATAAGGCTGTAAATGCAAGCTCTAGGCTATTTATCTATAATGTGTTCAAAGTGAAGATTTTGCTAAAATTGAGTGTTAAGGTTCTGTCTTCTAACTGTGGCCCCCAAACACAGCACGCTTACTGGGAACACTCTGTCAACCTTACGCCTTTGACTCCAGCTAAGGTCTGGATTAGATCTGTAGCAACTTAATGAACTGTACTCTCACAAAAGAGAGTTCCATTTACATAGAATTGGAATTTTTAACATAAAATAGAATGCAAAGAATGTCACTTTAAACAAATTTTATAATTTTCTCCTTCACTATATAAAGTTGAAGGATTTATTTACATGAGTTTATACCAACACATATGTTCTTACAACAAAGCTGCAAATTAAGCTACGAAAATCATTAGTAAAAATATCCCTCATTGATCAAGAATTTAACCAAGAATGATTATTTAGTTTTTCATAGAAACCAGAATGTGTGAGTATTAACAAAAATACATTTGTTTAGCAAAATACAACATTGGATCTCAGCGGATGTGTGAGAAAAGAGTCTGAGTGTTATTATAAAGTGAATATGTATTTACCCTCTGTCACTAGTAGAACCGTGACACCCCATCTAATCGAAAAAGTCCACCCTGATCTCTGGAAGCCGTGACTAGGTCGGGGTACATGGAAAGAAGGAGTTATAGTTGGGGAGGGGTCAGTTTGCCACTCAGTGCACCTTAAAATTAGGTGGGGGGAGGGGAAGAAGAGTGCGTCAGAGTCAAAGAAATTGGAAGGCCTATAATTCTGGCTTTGAAAGGGGGACGAGGCCAAGACACAAGGGATGATGCCCCAGAGGACAGGGGCAGGCCGTTCCCCTCCAGCACCCCAGCCCAGCCCTGTCAGCCTCCCTGGGCCCGCTGATGCGTGTTTTAGAAGCCCGGCCTTGAAGTACATCACAAATGGGCTCGTTTTAAACATGAACATTATGAAATTACTAGAAACTAAACGTCCAAACTCATTCCTCAGCCGAGAGATGGAAATCTTTCTAAATAGGACAGAAATAGCAATCACCACACAGGAAGAGATGGGTCAAGTTCTCCCGTACAAATTTTAAATCTCGGCTTCACAGTTATATAGATGTGGGAACAAGAGGAAGTTAGGTCAAATAATTTCCCTGTAGATCACAGCAAGCTAATGAATTAAAATGGAAACATGTTACAAATGAATGATAAAAAAAGATGCATAAGCAAACAGAAAGCTTTGCGAAGTGTATTGAATGGCTGATCACAGAAGTGGAGGAGGGGGAGGAGGGAAAGGAGGAGAGGAGGGTGAGGAGAAGAAGAAACTAGCCACGAGACACACACACGCCATGTTGGCCTTCAAATAGAGCAGATAACAGAGGGAAAGGTTTATGTCTTCACGCTAAGGGCAAAGGCTAGAGTGTTAATCCAGCATTCGCAAGTTCCTCGGGGTCACACATAACATTAACTTAAATTAAGCTGAAATTCAGTTCTTCAGTCAGACTAGCCATATTTTAAGACACACGTGCTTAGAGTTTACCCACTAGACAACAGAGCTTTATATAGAACATTTTCATCAGCAGGGGTGGTTTGGACAACACTGGGCTAGAAAGTAATTTCTCTATATTAAAATGAAAAGTGTGTGCACACCTGCACACTCACCGTGGCGTAACTTCACTCGAGTAAATCCACTTCCCACTATTCCCAATGTAGTTATACTCTCAAATCACATTAGGCTCCTGAAAATTATTAGTAGTATCATCACAGTGTTCCCTGAGGAAGTATTAAGTCCCATAGCCCAAAAAAAACATATTTTCAATGGTTAAAAATAATGTGTTTGCAATAACGAGGAAAGAGTTGCATATTTTGGAAGGTCTTTTTGTTGAAGACACTTCTATTTTTTATTTTATACTTTTCTGTCCGGTTTCCAATTTGAAATTTTTTATGTATGTGCATGCTATTTGTATATAAATGGATAGAAAAAATAAATACATGACTGTAAATGCACAAGCAAATAAAACCACATCAATCCAGCCAAAGGGATTATTGAGAGTAAACTTCACATTAAGCCAAACTTACAAGTATTAATGCCAGACTGAATTATTTAAATTGCTGATCACAATGTGCTCCTGTTTGTTAGCAGAATGTATATGCAGCTGGGTGTTGATTTTGAGATCATACCAAATTTATAAACATAGTTGTTACCTTTTTTTCGCATTGAAAATTGCTCTAAATGTCTCATCAAACTCATTGCTTATTTTAAAGGCATCTATGTGCATCCCAGCACTAGACCTTGAGCAGAACTATCCAGGCCAGTTCTAAGCACATCGTAACAATGGAAAACCCACTCCGGGGTGGTGGAATGGTGGCTGACACAGAAGTGCAGGTAACTGGCATCACTGTCATCGTCGCCCCTCAAAGTCGGGGGAAAATGCATGTTTGTGGATGGACAGCTCAGCTGGTTTGTTACCAAGGATTTGCCTGGTCTGTTTGACCTGCAGCTTTGGGCCTTTGAAGGTCAGAGCAAAGGAAGGTAGGTGATACATCGGAGACGCTTAATCAATATCCCCATTACTTTCTGCTGAAAGAGAAAGAAAATTGACAATTAGATTTGAACAGAAACCTATTTCAGCAATACCATTTTATACATTCCAGATTCCACTAAATTTTTCATTGCTCTTCTGTCACCCAAAAACATTTTAAACCCAGAAATAATGTCATGGATATATTTGAATCATGAAATATGGGACACAATATCGAGGAAAAGGTATTACTCTAGCGATTTGCATGCCTGGTCAAGGCAATTTTACTGCATTCCAGTAGGACTGTCCAAAAAGTTTTTTTTTTTTTTTTCAGTGAAACTGACATTTAATGTTGTAGTTTTATATCTGATCAATGAAGCTTTTATTTATATCAAGGGCTTTCATGATGAGAAAATACAAGTTACAATTTACAACTCCTCTCTTATCAGGGCAGATTTCCCTGAAATGACTTTCCATATCAATTCAATTTAAAAGTTTACTGGATCAAATAAATAAATAAATGTCCTGGTGCTTCAGACTTCCAATGTGGGCTGCAAAGTAAAACTGTCAGAATCAACTCTCATCACCTGGTGAACACCGTCCTTGATGGATTTTATCTGGTGATGCTAAATCCATCTAATCAATTTCAGTCCTCAATTTAATCATTTATAAATATGTGTGTGTGTGTATATGTGTGTGTGTGCATGGATGAATGGATGTATACACACATATATAACAAATTTATTTAATTTTAATAGCATCCTAAAAGACTGACCACACCTTAATTCTTGAAGTCTGTTCCTCCTTGGCCTTGAGGTAGCCCAGAACATGATTAGCTGTTATTTTGCCTTCTCGTTTACCTTTTTTAGACACTCTTTGCAATAATTGGCATGTAGATACCTATGGGTGTGAGCCACCTCCAATCCTCTTCTCTGGGCTTCCACCCTCCATTCTGCAAATTGATCCCCTTAACCTTACAGGTGCTCATTATCCTGACAGTCCGCTTCAGTACACGTCCGCCTCCAAACTCTCTCAAAGTTCCGTATCAGAGAAGGAGCTAGTCACTTGGCCTTGAGGTGGCGATGTCTCACAATCAGCTCGACCCAGGCATCTTCAGAAATAAAAGGTTAAATTTCTCCATCAAATTTCCCCTCTATTATTAATCATTCTTTATACCATTCACTCGTATCCATAAGTGCTCAAAACAGAAGACTTGGGTGAGCCTAGACATCAATCTTCAGCTCACCACAAGTACTTTTATCCATCCCACACCCCTAACATCACCATGTTTTATCACCTTCAGATCTTTTCAACCAAGCGTTTTTACCTAAATTGCAAAAATGAATGTTGGTAGTATTAAAATTTCTATGTTGTTCTTAGTAAAAACAAAGATCAATCCACACTCCTAGCCATTATAACTCAAGAAGCAATTCTGACTTAATAGTAGGGACTTAGCTAATTTTTTTGGTTGATGAATGAGCCGTCTAATTAAAACATGACTTAAAATGCCTTTTCATGAAATTGCATTAGTGACAAAATAATAGTTGTTCCAGTGATCAATTTATACGTACACTTTTTTATCTGTTCCTGCCAAATGACAGCTTTCCCTAGTTAATGTCCTTCACTGGATAGGCAGACTCCCACACCCTGTTTTGGAGGAAATCAGTACCCTGCTGGGGTCGCTATGAGCTGGATGCCCGGGACCTGTCATCCCTCAGCTGCAAGAAACAAGTTCAACATCTCTGCTGTCTCATCAGCAAGAAGCCAGCGAGGCAGGGGAGGCAGAGGGCTGGGCTGCAATGGCTCTGTGGTAGAGGTCCTACTTGTGAGCCAGCCCTGGTTCCCTCCCTTTGGTAAGGATTGCACTGCTCACTGGGCTCTTGTGTACGTCCCCACCCGTGCAAATCAAGCACGGCCAGAGGACAACCTCAGCCCAGCACAGAGTATGGCGGGACCGGCAGTGGCTCAGGGTTCTTGCCCACTGCTGCTCACTCTGCATGTGCGCCTGCATCTGCCATGAGAGGGCCCTTCCTGAAGGAGCTGAACTGGCTGGTGAGTGGTGTACAACTCGCTTGGAGCATGCGGACAGTGATATTGTGCACGGCCATTTGAAAATCATTCGTAAGATTTCTCTTGGTCCTTCCTGTAGCCCTACATTTTACTAGATGGCCCCAATGTGCCGATAACTCAATTTGGTTTCCTTTTCTCTCGTGTTGAGTAGCTGCACCATTGGTGAACAATTAGCAGCATTTCCTGCTCGAATTGTAGACTCCAGGGCATAGCAAAATGGGAGCTGTTTGCAAGGTTCTTATGAATTAATTCCACATGAAAGAAAACAGTAAGTTATTTCCATGAATGAATGCATTAGAGCGCCATTACACAAACAATATATGTCATTAAAAGAAAACATAATTCAGTGAAGGTAGTGCTACCTTTAATAATCTGTGATTTTTCAAATAACCTATTAAGTTTCCTCTAAATAAAATTAAACCATAACCTCTCTTTTAAAGTGATGCTTACCACCTGAGCCTAACTGCTCTGCTCACTGTGGAGCATGATAAAAAAGAACCTATTATTGATAAAATTAGTTGAAAGGCCCTGAAACACTAGTGTGAGATTTCAGCCTTTATTTCTCATCTCCAGTTATCATCATTTTATATCATCATACCATTAATTCATCTGCTCATATGTTTTTGATCAAGTACTTTACAGAGCCAGCAGGATACATATTTAAGCAATATGCATGGATAAGGATGGCCACTGTCCCCAGCCAGCTCACACTCAGCTTGGATGTGAAGGGAGGGAGCAATAGCTGGTGCATTTTATAGTTGCTAAGTTATGGTCGGGAGCAAGATGGTGAGGAGCAAGAGGTCAATTCTAGAAGGATTGGGCAGCAAGCTATCATAGTTTGACTTGAAAATTAGCAAGGACATCTAAAAATTCACTTCTTCTGTATTTGGAACAAGACAACTTGAATCAAGAATGAATACTTAAATATAGCCCCAGAAATGGAACTAGCTATTAGTTGAACACTGACAATGGTTTGAACAGTGCAATTCAGATCTGGAAACCCTTTCTATGGATAAATCTGTTTCAGCAGATGTTTTGGGGAGGATGGGATTTGTTTCTTGATCAATGGTGGCAACCACGGATAGTCACCATAGAAAGAATCCTTAGGGAAAAGAATAACACACACAAAAAAATAAATTCATGTGACTTAATGTAAAATATTGCTTAGTCTTCCATAATCATGAGTTTAAAAACTCACAGCAATGTTGATTCTATGGATATAGAGCAGAAAGTATGGATAAGAGTGATATCAATATAATTTCTCCAAAGTCCCCTTGATTTTATCCACAGGGGTAAATACCAACTATTTTAATAATGCTTACTAAGGTATTCAGCTTTAAACTGTTATAGATGCAAATACATATCTTTGTGGTGATTATCAAAGGCTAATTGATTCCAGGTTCTTTCATTTTGGGGTCTCCTTATTGGGAGGAACTGAAACCTTTGAGATATTTCAGCCTCCCCCAGATCGGATTCCCATTAATTCTCTGCTCTCAGACCTTCTCCCTCATACTGAGCCTGGACCCCTCCACAAATCTGCAAAACTGTGAGGGCGCCCTGCCAGGACCCCTCACTCTGCAGCCTGACTGTGCAGACCCCCGGACCTTCCTAAGAGCTGATTTCTCGCAAATAAAACTGAAAATAGAAATGGACCAAACATCTTCATTCTGGGGGGGGGGGTAGGTTGTCAACTTACAATCACAATAGCCAAACTCTGATTGAGCATGAAGTGAAGGTAACGCCACACAAAGGGAAACCACAGAGGAGCTTTGCGACCCTAGGTCGACTCTGATCAAATTCCAGAGGATTTTCTTCAGGCAGGCAGAAACATGACAAGCTGGGAGATGAGCTAAAGATAAGCACTTGGGAAAGGTCCAGTCTGTTCAAAGCAACACTAGTAATGTCTGCTTTGTGGAATGAAAGTAAGCAATACAAAAATAGTGGCTAACAGCAAGACATCAATGTGAGTGTGAGTGATGACAATTAATGCACTGGAGCCATCGTATTAATCGGGAGAAAGCAAACCACAGCTGACTCACTGCAAGTTGGTTAAATGTGCCTGTTGTAATAGCTAAGAACACGCTACCAAGTAGACCTCATTAAACAACCACAAAAAATGAAACCTACATAGGAAAGCAAATAAATTAGAAAGAGAAAAATCAAGGAAGTAACTAAAGACGATAGAAAGTGACAATAAATAGAGATGTTCAATAGAAACACAAAAATTCCCTTTTATGTTTAATAAAAGGTGGCAATTAGATATAAACGTGGCAGTATAAGTTTGGAAGACAAACAGCAAACCCTAGTCAAGGATTTAAAAGAGGATAGAAGTAAGCTAAGACCAATTATGTGTGTGTGTGTGTATATATACATATATGTGTGTATATATATATATGTATACACACATATATGTATATATACACTATATATAATAAATTACATATATATAAATTATATATATATACTGCAGTTATTTTATCATTTATTTAGTTATATTTTATTATCAAGATCATAAGTAGACAACTCTAAATACTTGTCTCCGACCCCTTAGAAGTTGCAGCTCAGTGTCATTGTCTCCCAGTTGGGGCCGGCAGCCGGCAACTGCCATGCCGGCGACCGGCCACAGCGGGGAAGTCTGAGACGAGCTCGCGCACAACAGCTTCTTGCCCCTGGCTGCCGGCCATGTTGTGCGAGCCCAGTTGAGGGCTTGTGGGGGTCACCATCCATGGAGCTGAGGGACTGACTCACCCACAGCCACCCACGGCGGGACGTGCCAAGGACGGTCCCCAGCCAGGTCCGGAGGAAACTCCGGAAACACCCCGACTCTGCCCTGCGCCAAGAGTGTAGTTTGTTTTCTTTGTCACTAAGCTTTGGGGGTATTTCATTACCCAGCAGATGATGCAAACGTAAGACAGAGAGAGACAGGGAGGAGTGTGGCGGGACATCTGCGAGCGTGTGCACCGGGCAGAGCGCTGGCTCTGGCCGAGCGGGGGACAGAGGACAGGGCCTCGCTGGCCCAGCCGCGGGCTTCGCGGAGAGACCCGAGCAGCGTCTCCCTAACAGTCAGCTTAAAGAGAAAATAAATGACCACCAGCACGGTCAAGTGTCCGCTAATTTTCCACATGTATTGGGGATAAAACTTGGAGATTGCTTTATAAGAATCATCACGCTAACAGAGGCGGGAAAGTGCTGCGAGCATCATGTCAGCACAGGCTGCTGCTTCGGTCCGCAGGCTGCGTTTAAGAGCAGAAACAAGCATGCCAACTGGCTAAACTGCATTTCAGCTGAGGCCTTAGCCAGCAAAATAAAAGGAATTAAAGGTAATACAGTCTCCAAGGTGTTAAGAAATGAAAGTGTGATTGTTTTCTCTGGTTAAAGATTATCCAACCCATTGCCACTTGGCAAAGTGGCTATTTACATATTTTTTCCCAATTTTCCTCCTAGTTTGTGTGTGTGTGTGTGTGTGTGTGTGTGATTAGATCAAACCTTTATACTACCCATATTAACTTTTGTGTGTGTGTGAATAATCTGTTGCCTGTATCTCCACGTTGTGACGTGAAGCCGTTTCACTCACCCTGTGGCAGTTTTTGTGAACATGTCTAGGGAACAGTCTGTTAAACTTCTGGTAGTGGTCATTTCACAGGAGTCCATCTATGAACATTAAAAGTCAGTACTATCTTGGGTTGTGAATGTTGGGACTTGATCATGTAAAGTAACAGAATTTTAGAAGATATATTGGCTATTCCTACTCAAGCGGACAAAACAAGATGGTCGTGGACACTTACCAGACGGTTTTCATGATCCCAGGCACCGGGTCCTCCCACCCGATTTCTAACCCTGGGATACATGATAGGCTCACAGGCACGCGATGGCATGTTCTACTCCGATGTGAGTGATATGGGTCCATACACCCACTCTGTGGAGATCCCAGCCCAGACATACACAGACTGATGCTTTCCTTCAGTAAACTTCATTTACATTCATCAAAACTAGAAAACCCTCGGTGACAAATTGTATGGGCACAAAGATGTGAGACGTGTT